AATAAACTTGATTGATTGATTGATGATTAATGCACCCACCAGTAGAATGGCTAAAAGAATAAAGTTTGTAAGCAGGAGGCACAAACTAGATGTTTCTCTAAAAGTCACAATACTCAGCAGCCATAATTGTTTTAACTTCTGCATGATCGACCAAATGCTAATTGCTTTTCAAAAGCTGTGGGATGCAACATTCTCTTGCACATGGATCAACAATACAGCAGTTGTGACTGCATGTTAGAGACTCAGTGGCTCCATTGCCTGGTGGTTTTCTGCTGCAGAACTTGAATGAATTACCCTGAACCACTGATATGAACCACATTAAATGCAGTGTAACATATGGGTGCAGAGGAGGTGTAGAAGTCCTCCTCAAGTGGGAAATGTCATATAGTGCATGTCAAAAAGAAAATGATCTCATTCAACTTAACTTGTCGTTTTGCATTGAAAACATAAAGCGGTTTTCTGTAAATTACAGATGTTTAAAGACATATCTCACAACAAAGCTACTGCTGAATAAAATGTGATCCACACACTCTTACAGAATTGTATACATACTACAACAGTGTTTAGCTATACATATATATGGACTTTAATATGGCAGCACAAGGCTGAAATGACTAAAAAAAACTTCAAACTACAAAGAAAAAGAAAATACTGCTAATTTATGTAGTAATTACACTCTCAATGGGCAGCCTCTTTTTCTGTTTGTGTGGCCACAATGCAAACACCATTTTTAGACTGGGACAATGGGCAGAAATTCATACTGAAAGGATGAAAAGCAGCAGGCATCACAACAAGCCACTGAAAACTATGAAGAAGCAGATGTTCAACAGCATCACTTATTCAGAATCTGTGTCTATGGTTGCAGTTATGTAAAGCCAGCTTGCATCTATATTTTGCTGTTTTGGCCCTTGACACACTTGATGGTATTATAATACTCCTCAAAGCTATTTTTTTCAAAAATAAAATAAATAAATAACAACAGCAATAATATACTATCCAACCTGTGGGTTGTTTTTAGATTCACTTTGTCATGGAAACCTATAACATGGCGATGGCCACACCAGAGTCATAATGACCCTTCATCTGAGTTATTCTGGCAGCTAGCATGAGCAGCAGGCCAGTGGCCACCTCCAGGCTGTAGGAGAGCCAAGCTGTGGCTAAGGACCAGCCAAAGGACACATCCACATTGGCCAGGTTCTCCGGGGACACCATCCGCTGGAATTCCTCCATGGCCTGGTTGGAGTATTTGATGTAGATGCTTACCCCGGTAAGGGTAAAAAGACCTGATGGCGCACAGAAACAGACAAATGGCACTGTTGGAAAAAACAAGTCACCAAATTCCCTTGCACCGGCATTACGGAGCCCAATAATGAGAAACAATTTAGCATTAAAGATCTAAAGCAGTTTCAAGACAAAAGTCTTTCTCCCAGTCATGTCCAAATTATTCTAGCAAGGTTCTTCTCAATTTAATCAGATCATTTACTCTACAGGAGAAACCTATGATGTAAGTATGAAGTTTGTATATATTTACATATTGTCTTTGATCTTTTCTTCCCAAACAGACACATGAAACATCTCGCATTACCACAATTACCGCAGAGTTGAGCTGAAAGGAATAACTGAATGTCAATCCCAAAACCCCTTAAATATCGAGTAGTGGCTACTACATGCAGAACTGACCTTTAGTGTGGCAAGGTAGAAGGCAGAACCACTACACACTGCACAATGGTGTGCTGCAATTAACCTCTGTTAATTACTGATCATTACAAATCACAACTGTGGGCTTCCCTCTCAATGTCTATTAAGTTGTGTGCAACAGAGTAGAAAGAAAGAAAGAAAGAAAGAAACAAAGAAAGAAAGAAAGATAAGTACATATGTCATGAACAGTGCTAAAGGAGGCACAGCGGGTTCTGTAGGGCTCCTTTTTCATGAAAGGCAGGTAAATCATTTTCACATAGACTACAAATTACAGTGTTAATTGGAGAAAATACCTACAGTGATTGGTACACTACTCCTGAACACGGTCTGCCTCGCACTCAGGTGTCCATTGCAGAATATTAGGCCTCCCACATGGGTGAGATTTCACTTTTAATTCTACATTAATTTTGTATGTGTAGTTTTTTGTGTACAGTATGACCTTTATAGTTCCCATGCACTTTATGAGGTCTGAACTGTTACTGCACTAATATTGTACTGGAAATGATGGATGTGCTAAAGATCATTTAGAAGCAAAGCTATTTTAATAGAGAGAAAAGAGTAGTTTTTTAAAACAACCCTGAGTTGCAGCGAGTCGAAGCTGATAAAGAAGTAAATAGTGTCCAAGATGGAAATGTCAGTTTTGTCAGATCTCACATTCCCAGAGGCCTGTCCACAGTCCAAGGATTCAGATTCATTTATACTGCAATACGTGATGTTAGTGTTCAGAATGGGATTTCAAAGACATATTGATGCACAGCTCAACATAAAGTTTGTGTTTGAATATACCATGTCTCATACTAACATTTCAAACTCAGAAATAGGTTGCTGATGTATAAAAGAAGGGGGGAAAAAAAGGCAGAACAAAACACTGAAATCCATTACCCCTTTTCTGTTTACCTAATGTCAGAGGTGGTTTTTGAAAGTGGAAGAGCTTGCAGGTCTTTTGATGTAGAGATGTGGACAGGACATTCGGTGCAAAGCATGAATTTAGCTGTCTCTTCTGTGTGACATGGGAGGCTGGCCCTGTCAGCAGAGATGGTGAAGTATATAATAATACCTTCTACTTATGTGACGGATTCATGCATTCACCCTCAAGCTCACCCAAATCGAGATTCAAACTCATTCCCTTTGAGTTCACACCTGATTAAATTCATTCTTTGATGGATATTGTATTTATTGTGACTGGTCAACGGTTGAATCCACCCTGGTGAAAGAAAAAACAATCTTACTGTTACCGTACTACTGATGAAAGCATGTCCTTTTAATTGTGTCTATTGCCATTTAAGGAACCAGCAGTTTAGGGTCTCCTTATAGTATAGACCAAACGTATGGCATGTCTGCTCAGAGGACTCTCCTGTTTCATCAGAGAGGGTGACATTTTTATCTTTGAGCTCATATTCAGTTGGACAGTGATGTCTCAAGCATAGGGGTGAATAAAATAAAGAGGGCACCATGAGGTCAAGACTTGGTGTGTGGATGGTGAAACAGTTCCAAACCCTGTTTTAGATTAAAATGAGTTTATTATGTGACTCTAAGCCATCCATTTTAAGTGTTTTTTAGTGTACTGCATCACATTCTGTCTACTGTAAGGGCACACAAGAGGGCGCTTAATCAAGTTTCACCCACCATAGGGGCATCAGAGAGTCCATCAGTGCTCTTGGAAAGTCTTACATCTCACTGTTTATAACACAGGTTTTTTATCCTTTGCTGGATGCTTTAAAAAACAAAGAGGCATAAATTAAAAGTATACCTATTTCTCCAGATACCACTACACCACTGCTCTCTTCCTTGGGCAGATACAAAGAATGTTGATTGTTTCAAGAGATATATTATGTTTATCAGTCCACCATTCAGATATGAGGCAATTATATTTTAATAAGACTACACCAATGCTAGCACTGTACTTTGTCACAGTGGTGCTTTGAGCTAAATGCTAATGCTAGCATGATGGCCACATGTTCACCAAAGACATCCTGAGGGGAACATAAACGTGTGTACTAAATGTCACAGCATCCAGTCATCCATCTAATAGTTGATGATTTATTTCAGTCTTGACCCACCAACTAACCATTTCACCACTCAGATTCTACAAAAAGGAAATAACATTTTGTTGATCTTTTATTTGAAAGGCCTTTAAAAAAGAGCCTACTGGTGATTCCAGGGGGATGTCTGACAGAAGCTTTCAATCAGGGATAAGCTCTTCTGCAATTTTCTGCCACTCCATCATGATCAGCAATCACTCCACATGCTTTGATCAATACTGTTAATTATGTCCATATCCATAGTGAGAATGTTTGGTGTCTAAGATCATGTTGAGGACCCAGTTTGCAATCATGATAACTGATGGAGGTAACTGGAGGTAAGACAATCATGTCCTCAGTATATCATTACTGTCTACAGTATAGTGTTTGTGGCACCTACATGTGTGAAATGTGCCGCCTACACACTTTTTCTTGCGCTGTACATCTTGCACTGACATACTATAACCAAACAAAGCATTCACTTCAGATCACCTACACACAAATCACATGTAATTTCTACAGGTTCAGAAAGAAACAAAAAAAAAATCGAAATTCTGTGTGGACTTACTGCAGAAGAGAAAGTAAGATGCTGATCCAGCCAGCAATTTGGGACTGGTGGCCAACGAACTGACAAGCCCAAAGATCCAGCCAAACACCAGCAGGACCAGGCTGAGGGGCAACATGATGACCACCACCTTGTGCAAGCCTGCAAAGACACATGTGCAAATACACAGTTCCTGTGTTTAAAGAAAGGATTATTGCTTCAGACTTTACTACAAGTCATCTGAATTAAGAATTGTTGCTGAGTACAACCATTTGCAAATGCAGTGAAGACTTTCAGATTGATTTCCCACCATCCAGAGAGCCATTGTAGGTTTTCATTCCCATTGTCAGTAGGGTATTAAAATCAAGATAGCCTCTGTCACGGTTACAATTTATTACTGCATTTCAGTGTCAAAAGTGCAAGGAAACACGCACTATTCTTTGCAAAATGTTTGCATGTTGTATGTCTTCTGGATTAGAGTTTTCTGACAGCAAACTTAAATGTAATTTCTTCAGCAGCCAACTTACTACTTTAAATCTGAATTTTTATCACCTCCTATGTCAGTTGATAAACAAAACCACCACTCACCAAGAAGGTGCCTTTCTGCCTCTGACAGGCTGGACATATTTGCTGTGAAAGAAGGGATGACAGAGCTCCTGTTTGCTCCTGAAAATGTTAAAGGAAAAGGTCACACATGACAGGATATGTGGACAGAGCTGCAAATTTGTTACTGGATACCAAACAGTGTCAGTTTTTTTTTTTTATCATAGTGATGTATAATGATGATATTTATAAATATAACCCATTAACACATTAAATTAACCAAACCAATTAGAGACATTCGTATGACACATATCTCCTCAGCCCTACATGTGTGACAGTTTTGCTCCAAGACTTTGTGTCAGTGCATTTTCCACTCGTGCCAATATGTCACAGGTGAGCACTGCTGGAAGAGCCTCATACTATGGTATATGTTGTGTCATTACTTGACATTTACTCTGTGAACTGCCACCAGCCACAAATTGGACACCTCTAGGACCCCAAGCTGTGCTGCCAACAAGCAGATTATATTGCAGCTGTGCTGAAAAAAATCTTTTCGCATCTCTCCGCAGCCTCCTGCGTGTTTGCCTGCAGCTCCCTTCAGGCAGCTGATACAGATGTGAGGGGTTACAGTTGTTATTACTTAGAAAGGAGAAAAAAAATAACATTTGCGATATAATTTAATATATCTGTTAATCCTGTGGGATTCACCCCTCCCTGAATGAAAAGTTAAAATGTAAGAATCTTATTGGGGAGTTAATAATTAGGTACATAGCCCATAGCATATACATAGTGTTAGTAATTTATCCCTGCAAGCTAAAATCACTGGTATGTCACTTCTTCTGTGCACCAGTGTCACAAAACAGAAATTCAGCTTTTTGCAATCATGAGTTTTCCAATGGAGTAATGAGAAATAAACACACAGCTTCTGCAGTGGACTCCTGCTGACAATACACACGGTAAGGCAGCAACATCAGACATATGATCATAAATAAAAAGCTATATAATAATGTTCGATCGCAACAGCATCACATGTAATACACTCCATGATTTTTCATTTTTTAGTCAATATTGTGATCAATGCTTTTTTCACAAGTCAGAACATGCCTGATTCCTGACTTCAAACAGATCGATAGAAAATCAAAAGCCTTCTTTTACACTCAATAGTGTCGTGAGAATAAGTGCAAAAGTTAAAAATGAAGGCTGCGTCCGATTTTATTACAGCTATCTCTCTCGCTCTCATACACACACGCACACGCACACGCACACAAACCATACTTGATTAAGTATTAAACCCCCCTGAAAGAGATAACATACAAACTACAGACTATAATGTGTGGGCTTTAATTAACATACCTTCATTAATTCTCCACAGTCCAGAATGTGAACTCAGGTCGTCTGGACCTGTATGGTTGGGTTTATTCACATCGATGATGTACCAGTAATCAGTCCCAATAGCCACAGCGAGGAGGCTAAAACTGAGCAGACCTGTAAAGCCAGCAGTGAGGACCACCAGTCCGTACCTCATGATACAGTCCGCACGCAGAGCGCAGTTACTCTAATATTCTGTGAAGTTTTTTAAATATTTTTCTACTCTGTCATCTGCGTCGACGCTCCAAGATGTGCGACGCGTAAAAGCTTTCCAGCTGGATCCATCCCTGTAAAGTGCTGGTTCTCCACAGCTATCGCGGTCCTAAAATGTAGTTTCGGGTGGAAACTGAGAAAAACAACGTAATCCTTTAACTGTTTCCAGTTTACTTTTACAGGGGAAAAACACGAAAGGGAAGAGAAGAGAGATGCGTCTTTCTCGGCACCAGTTTATAACACACCGTCATGTAATTGGGGCTGACAGAGGAGACAAGTTAAGGTAATAAAACGCCACACTTCCGCTGCGGATTTCCAAAATAAAACTCCGACAGGGGCACATGAAGGTGCTTCATTTATTTATTTTCATGCAAAATAGCCCACATCCGGCCACAGTTAAGTTATCTGATGTTGTTTGAGAGTTACAGTAACTCAACTGCAACAGTCGCTGCTACTGTGACCAGATATAGATCCGACTCCGCCTTTGTGTCACTGCCCGTCAATAAATACAAAGGCTTCCTAAGATGAGGTAAAATTCCCAGACTTAATCAATACGAAGCAATATTTAAGGCTAAGCACATTGCCTGCAGCTACAGTAAATAACAGACACATAAAAGTCCCCCTGGTCATATGTTAATTACACTCAAGAAGCTCAGTTTGAATGGTTACATCAAACATTTTTTATAATACTTACCTATACTTTATGACCAGGCACTTAACCTACTCACCTGTCTTATGAGAAGGGTCCTACAGGTTGGGCAGCTCAGAGAATTGACGTTGTGCCTCTCTGAGTCCAAATGGGAAAAGAAAAAACAGTGTACTGTTTGGCACTTTGGCACTAGCATCTGTCTCTGAAGTCTTTTTCTTTCAAGTCAATGTGTAATAGAAGCACCGTTGACGACAATTACAGCCTGCGAGTCTGTGTGGGTCTGCCAGCCTCGCACATTTGGACAATACGTTTTCACCCCCATTATTCCTTATAAAACTGCCTGAGCTCTGTCAAGTGCCATGGGGGCCATGAGTGAAAGGCAATTTTCAAATCCTGCTACATTTGTCGATTGGACTGAGGCCGTGTGACCCTGACTTGGCCACTACTCCAGGATATTTTGAAGCCATTCCTGTGTATCTTTATGGCTATAGTTACAGTATGTTGGCTGTTGTTGTTTTGCTGCGAATAAATCTTCAAAGATATCTTGCACACTGCAGCAGGCTTTCCTGATTCTCAGAATTCACCAGAAAATCTGGCTGTTACTTGTATTTTCCACCTCTTTTGATTTAAAAGAGTGGTGTAAAAGCAGATGAACACACAGAAAAGAGGCGGAGGAGGATTTCAACATATATCCTTTTAATGATCAGTGAAAGTTCAGTGTCATGGGCATAATTCTTTTTCATATTGACTAAGATTGAAGAAAGCAAACAGATTTTAAAATTCCAATGCCTTCTGAACAGTATACTTGGTTATTTTTCCATGTCAGAAATAACCAAGTATCTATTTATTTCAGATCTTCTAAGAACAATGGACATGGCATCATAAAACAGTTTGAGTATGGCACAGTGATGCAATTGGAAGATGTAGTGGGTGTCTTGTTAAAATCCATAACCATCATAAATAATGTAAACTGTCCAGACAGCTCACAAATAAAAACACAACGATAAAGCCTTGACAGCCAACCTAGAAGTTCCTATATAACCAATAGGTTGACAAAGGTAGAATTACTTATGGCATGACATATTTTGTACCTGATTGTAGCCCTTTTTTATAAAAAGCCTCAAACGTTCACAAAAGACATCCAAGGGAAGGAAAGATTGATTTGTCGAGTGTAGGATGGGAAATTAAGTTCCTCTTGGTCTCTGCAATTTTACGTGCCATCAAAACTTGTACTGTACACCCTATTTGTAGTTGAACTGCCTTTCGATTCAAATGCATCCGCTGTGATGTGTAGGTGAGTCAGAGGGGTACATTGAAATAATGTTTCTCAAACTTTTTTTTTTTTCATATAGTGTAGGCCTACCCTGTTCATCTATGGTCTGTTCACAAAGGAGTCAACTTTATTCCTTTATTTCATTTAAAATGATATATATATTTCTGAGATTATTCCGCATACCACTAGTGGGAGCTTGCATACCACCGGTGGTACGTGTACTATAGTTTGAGAACCAGTGCAATAAATAAACCATGCACTGAAATAGAATTCATTTAGTTAGTTTAGGGCTGCACAATTAATCGAAATATTATCAAAAATGCAAGAGCAATGTTCTGATAAAGGTAAAATGTGTGACAAACAGCATTATAATAAATACTGCTGTGCTGCAGAGATGCCCTTGCCTACTGATATTGTTCTCCAGAGAACATGATAGAGACCCCCAAAAATTTCGCATAGAAATGATTTTTTAAAAATATATTTGTTTTAGTGAAAATTCAATTTGTGATGTAAAAATGATAATTCCGACTATAATCGTGAATCGTATTGCAATCGCAATGTCTGTCAAAATAATCGCAATATGGTGTTTTTACCATATTGTGCAGCCCTAGTTTAGTTCAGAGCACATAGGCAAACTGATCATTTCTTTATTAAGGTGACATCTCTGTGACGTTTGCAGAGCATCCAACATGATTATTGAGTGGATATTCTTTCATCAGAGTATGTTGTCAGTTATGTTATAGGATGGATATTTCTAAGTTCTTTTCAATTAGGTATTTTGTCTAACATAAATAAATAATAAACCACTTTATTTTGTATTTCAAACAAAATGTCTGCTAAAACTAATGGTTTTATATTATTATTTTTTTTGCAAAAAAGATAGAACATTTTTATTGAAAATCAGCCTTTTGCACAATTTCAAGAAAAACAGTTTTTAGAGCAATTAATCATCAAACATATCTGATCCTTAGCACCTGTTAGATATGACACAAACTGTCTAAACAAGATAAACTATACAGCACAGATGTCTTTCATCGACGATGCAAGAATAATTAAATCAAACAGTTTTAGAAATGTAGCCTGCACCTGTGTTACATTGCAAATTCTTTCATTAAAATTACTGAAATGCCATCTTAGATGGAAAGCAGCAATGAAATGCCATTAAGTGTCAGAGTTGCTGTGGCTTAATCTTTTTAACTGCTCCTGAGTATTTTTACCTTGAACATTAGTTGATGCAAACACACAGGTTTGTGCCTTATTTTGCAAGCTTTAATGTATCAACCATAAATGTTCAGCCATTTAGGATAGAATATTATTGCTGAAATGCTTCATGATGGTCTATGCAGCACTATGCCTCACTAGAATTGCCACGTTGCCTCTTAATGGTCTCTCTGTTGCAGCATACATTTTCTTCACAAAATTTGCGCAGAGGGACCATTACAGTCGCTTTTGCTTTGAGGAAAGTAACACAAGTCAATTAGAGGCTTACCTGTGCTCTGTCGCAGGGGCTAGTTCTTGCTGATACTGGATCAGTGAAGCATTGCTGACATGATGCAATAGATTCCTGAACAAATGATGTTCTAAAGCATTTTGTAGATCACTAAATCTATTCTGTTTTTGCAGATTTATTAGAAGAATGTAGTGATTGACTCAGCCACATTATATCCAAACTGTGAAAGACAGTACGAAGGTGTGTTAGCAGCGTGATGAACCAACTGAGTGTCAGAAATTAGGAAAAGGAGAAGTCAGAAGTTAACCTCTCTTTGGTTCTGATAACAGAACTGAAACTTGGCAGAACTTATTCTGGGTTGCCAGGTTTATTTGTGTCCACCAGTCTCAGTGCCCAGGTTGTGGTCATTTATGTCTTTCATAATCTGCCTTGGATGTACATTCCTTCTCGTTGGCTTTAATCTGGATGGTCATGTTTGTGTGAGGCCTGTGCTGAGGCTGTGCGCTGTTGATGAGCTGAGCCTTGTGACCAGCTTACTAAAAAGGACTTGTCTCCATTTTCCTCTGTGTGTAGCTGTGTAATGGCAGGAGCCTGGCTCATTGGCTTTGAGGTGTTTGTCGAATTATATTGTCTTTTTTGGATCCTAATTAAAAGGCGAAATTGGTCTATTTCTGTGCCGAATGGATTGTGTGTTGTGTTACTGTTTTCTTACCAATTTCAGTTTGCAAGGTTTCAGTTCTATGGTAATTGCATTTTCAATAGCCTTGTTTTGTCAGGACACATCACTACAATATAATACAATTAATTCAGTGGATTTGAATATTTGTTCAGTTTCAGGTTGGTATAGGTGTTGAGATTGTTTTTTGGCATAGAAAGTCCTCCTGTCTTTCCAAGTGAAATGCCCATTGATGTAATTTGTGTTCCTTAATATATATAGTTATGCCATGTGATCAATTTTGTTTTTCAACTATAATAACACATCATTATTTATTTGTTAATTATATTAACTATTAACTGAAGTTATCAGTGAAATGATCATTCTCAAACCCATGGATAACTCCTCCCACTCCTTGCAAGCACCACCCTCCCCACCCCTGAATTTGTCACTCCCCCTCTAACAGATCGGTCATTCTTCCAGTTTTCCCTGATCTCTTCCTCCGATCTCAACAAAGCACTGTCTGGCATAAAGACTGCCACCTGTGCCCTGGATCATTAGTCAAAGCTCCCTGCTATCTGCCCGCTCATCCTCTCTGTCATCAACTCCTCCCTGTCTACTGGCCACAGTTACACCAATCCTCAGAAAGCCTGGCCTTGACATTGATTTCCCAAGAATTACAGAGCCATCTCCAATTTCCCCTTTCAATCTTAAATACTGAAACACACCATTGCTTCCCAACTCAAAACCCACCTGGACTCCCAACCCAACACAGCACAGAAACAGCTTTGATCAAAGTCACAAATTACGTCCTCTCCTCAATGTCCTCTCCCTCAAATTTCTGATTCTACTTCGACACAATCAACCATTCCATCATCCTCTCCTCGGGTCCTCCCTCAGCATCACTACCACTGCAGTCTCCTGGTTCAAATCATAACTCTCCAATCATCAACAGTTCATCAGCATAAACAAATCCAAGTCCAATACAGCCAGGGAGTCCCCCAATGTTCTGTGTTTGGACTCTTCCTCTTTGTCCTCTACATGCTTCCCCTTGGTCACATCATACGCCACCATGGCCTATGCACTCAAAACCCGCCTATTAAAAGATCCCCCCCTCCTTTTTATTGCTCCACCTGTTTTCTTTTTCGTTTTGTTTTATGCTGTTTTGTCTTTTGT